AGAGTAGTAGAGTAATAGTAGTAGTTAGGTTTTCGTTTGTTTCGTTTCGTTTTATTGTTCGTCGTCTCTCTCTACTACTATTATTATTTCTTACTTCTTATTCTTCTCTCTCTCTCTCTCTCTCTCTCTCTCTCTCTCTATATATATATATATATATATATATATGTGCTCTGTTTCATTGTGGTCACAATGGAGCTGATTCATAGAAGGGATCTATAATTTCTCCCCCTTGGTGATTTGATGCTATAAGATATGTCTTCACCATGTGTTCTTCTCTCTATGTTACATGGGTGCATAGGGTCTAAGAGAAACCCTATGTGATGGGTTCTTTTTATCTGTCGCATATAGCCTATGTGATGGGGTTCTGTTTTCTGTTATGTATGTGCATATTATGATCCAATCCATAATATATGCGTCCATGGATTTTCATTATATGATTATATTCATTACATGGTGTTCCAAGTGGATGCATTAACCATACTTGGTGCCTAGGCGGCCTGTCAGCTCGGTTCCTAGTTGTCTCAATCATTGTGCTTCTGCCAAAACAACGCCTGTGGCCTTCTGATACACTGAACTAGCGATGAAATGAGTTTTTTGATTGGATCTCTTTTTTGGTTGCATAATGATATGTTCTTTCTGTTACTTCCATAATGAGCTAAGCCAAAACTGTTAACCTCTTCCACAAGATTTTTATTCTTAATAGATGATAAAAGCTATGGATTGGCATTTCCCTTGAACTTTTTTTCAATAGTCCAAGAGATTGTGAAGAATTTGGAGCAAAGTACTCACAATGATATCTTTCCTTTTTTGAGATAATGGTATTCTTCTGAGTATGTTTCAAGTTCTTCACAATGTTTCATGTGCGATTTTTCCTTTCTCCTTTTTGTCTTTTTTTTTTTTTTGTTTCTCCTATCTCCTTTCTTCTCTTGTGCCTTTTCAACCCACAACCTCAACGCTATTTCACTCAACTTTTTACACGACTTCCTACTCTCTCTCTATCTCCCCATAAAATCTTATGTATCCTTAATCTCTCTGTCTTTGTTTTTACTTACTAGCTTCTTTTCTCTCTTACTTTTCTTTTTTCCTGTTTCTCTCTCTTAATCTCTCTCTCTCTCTCTTTTCTTTTCTTTTCTTATTCTATTTTTTTCTTGTTATTTGTACCAGCACCCAACCTGTGGGCTCCCTTAACGCCCTCCTCATTAGTCATTAGTTTGTGTAATTTTAAGATACATATTAGTGTGTTGTCTCCTTCATAAAAAATAAAGTTTCATGTGCCATTTTTAGGTCCTAGGATAGAAATATGTACCAAAACATCTATATGACGTTGTGTCTGAAATAAAGGTGTGAACTGGAGTGTTTAGTATCATGTTATTTTCTTTACTAGGTTACAATGGCGATTGGAGCCATAAAATTGGCATTTTCCTTTTATGTATTTATTTTCCTTCTTAAGTACATCCTTACATGATGATGTGAGCAATAAAGCATGATGATCTTAGTCAGTGAGTGAAAACTTGGTGAGGGCTCGAGACTCGCTGGAGTTACTCTGATTCGGCAGGCTGCTGAATCCGAACCAATACACATGGGGACTGGCTGGATCCTGATATTATATATATTAATCATGACTTGGCTCCGCCAAAGACTTGGTTGGGTATGTTAGACGTTACTTAAGCTCTGGACCTGATAGTGTCTCATCCAATACCTTATTTTTTTTATTAAAACTGATCTAAGCTAGAAAAACAGGTTTTATTATGAGCTTCTTTTACTGTCATGCTGCATACGTATTGATCTAAACTATGAAATATGTTTTCCTTTGTCTATGAAAAACAGATAATCTAAGCTATAAAATTGGCACTATTTATTTATTTATTACACTTCATTAAATGGTGAGTCTAGCCTTTCTTAGTTGTAGACAGTGTTTTTACTTCTTGCCGCTTTGCAGATGAGCTGATCAAGAATGCGGCCTATATTGGGACCCCTGGCAGGGGCATCCTCGCTGCTGATGAGAGTACAGGCACCATTGGGAAGCGGTTGTCAAGCATCAACGTCGAGAATGTTGAGTCCAACCGTCGTGCTCTCCGCGAGCTCCTCTTCTGCACACCTGGTGCCCTCCAGTGCCTAAGCGGGGTCATCCTCTTTGAAGAAACCCTCTACCAAAAGTCATCGTCAGGGAAACCCTTTGTTGAAATCTTGAAGGAGGGTGGTGTGTTGCCTGGTATCAAGGTCGATAAGGGCACTGTGGAGCTCGCAGGGACCAATGGAGAGACCACAACACAAGGACTTGATGGGCTCGCGGCGAGGTGCCAGCAGTATTATGCGGCCGGTGCGAGGTTTGCGAAGTGGCGTGCTGTGTTGAAGATCGGACCCACAGAGCCATCACCACTTTCAATCCTTGAAAATGCAAATGGGCTTGCACGATATGCCATAATCTGCCAGGCAAGTGTATCATTGCACTGGTATTATTAG